CCTGCCCCCCACACACGCCTCCACACACCACCACGCGCCACCACACGCCCACCACACGCCCTCCACACGCCACCACACGCCTCCACACGCCACCACACGCCTCCACACGCCTCCACACGCCTCCACACGCCTCCACACGCCTCCACACGCCTCCACACGCCTCCACACGCCTCCACACGCCTCCACACGCCTCCACACGCCTCCACACGCCTCCACACGCCTCCACACGCCTCCACACGCCTCCACACGCCTCCACACGCCTCCACACGCCTCCACACGCCTCCACACGCCATCACATGCCTCCCTCCCCGTCCTTCCACTCCCACTGCCCTTCTGTCCCTCTCCTGTGATGTTCCCTGGGCTTTGGAGAGACCTTTGGGGACCATTGTTTTTGTTTTTGTTTCTTTTCAAACAGGATCTCAGAAATAATGACCTCCAACTTCCTATGAAGCGGAGACGGGCCTTGAACTCCTGATCCTCCTGGTATGACAGGCATGCGTCACCACACCCATCTAGGGACTGGATTCCTGTCTCTGTGATCTGACAGAACCTTGCCTGGAGTCAGAGAATGACCTCCATGACCTTTTGAGGTCCTGCCTGGCCACTGAAGCCAGAGGGTTCAATATTTATATGGATGACTCCTCAGGGACGTGGGGGAAAGGAGGGGGACGGTGGGCGGGTGTGGGGAGTGAAGGGAGCTGACACCCAGCAGCAGTGACTCAGGCCCTCAGCACCGTGACAGTGACAGCGTGTCTGCATTTAGCTGTTGGCTCTTGTTTCCCTGGCAGGCTGCTCTGGGGGGCTCCCCACCCGACCCTACCTCTTTTCCTCTCTCCTCAATACCAGTGACTCTCTGAAGCCTTGCCAACTGCCCATCACCCAGGATAGGCCCCGGTTCGGTTCCCAGCCCCCACATGAGTAATTCACCGTTATTCGTAACTCCAGTTCCAGGAGATGTCTAGGGGTGACACATGCCACATGCCTCCACACGCCACCTTTAGCTCCAGCCATCACTCTGACCCCCCAGCTCTGCCCTGTCCTGTCCTGACTTCCCATAGCACCAGATCCAGTCTTAGTTAGCTCTGTGAACCCAGAAACAAGAGGCACAGCCCTCACCTCCAGGGACTCTGGGTTAGTGGGGGAGAGACAGGTGATCCTGACCCAGGAGCGGGGATGAGGGGGTACCAAGAGAGGTGTCAGAACGCACAAAGACTATGTCACACTGTCAAGTATTGGGGACTCAGGACACAAGGAGCCCCTGTAGGCTGCAGCAACTGGAGATTTCCACGGGAGAGAGGATTGGGTGATTATATGGGGAGAAAGCACAAGATTTGTGTTCCAAAACTGCTTGATGGACTGGTGGGCCACCTGCCCCCTGAAAGTGTCTCTCCTGGCTTCTGCCTCCTACCCAGCATCAGAGAGTCTGGAGTTCTACTTAGTAGTCAGTGAAAAGAAAGGGGCTTCTTGGACACAAGGGTCGGGCACATCTCGGGTGGAACCCCAACCATTCTAACGTGCTCAGGCCCAGTCTTTCCCTTCTGGACAGGCTCCATTTCCTGGTCTAGAAACTGACCTAAAAACTCCTCTTTTTGAGCCATGGAAGATCGAAAAGGGCTTTGCTGGGAAGGGACAGCAACACCCAGGGACACCCTGGGAGTCCCTAGTGTTCTCTTTGACCTGTGACTACTACGATCCTGGGCAGGCAACTCCCCTGAGCCTGAGGTGGAGGGACTATTGCTAGCAATTTAGCCTCCTAGACCTTTTAGGATAATTATCAAATTATCTGCCCCTTCCCTGAAGCTGGGCCCAATCCCCTCACCCCCACCCCGCCAGCCCCACCTCCAGCTGCCAGCTTTCTTCTATTCTGCTACAACAGATTCTTAGACCTGAGACGGGAGGGAGGGGTAGATTTGGGGTTCCTGTGGGAGTTGACAGGGGCCACCTATGTGTTCTAGCCCCGCCCCCTGGGCTGTCTCAACCTTTCTGAGGAGATAGCTGAACCTGGAGCTGCAGGTGTCTCACAGAGAGTCAGCAGGGCTCTTGTACATGCCCTCTCCTCAGGAGTCTCATTAGGGAGGCACAGGCCCTGAGAACCAGTCTGAGAGGAGAGTCAGGTCCCTGGCTAGGGAGGGAAACAGCAAACCACAAAGTCCTGGGGCAGGCATAGAGCAAGACTTGCCCTTGCCCTGGCCACTACAGAGGCCCTTGGGGCTGGAGCTCTGGGCTTGGAGTACCAGGCGATGAGCTCAGCCCTCCAACCCGGCCCTTGTGTGTCAGGCTGTCAGCAGGGCCATTTCTCCCAAGAAGATTTCCAGGCCCCTCTGGGCCATGAAGAGGCCTAAATTTAGCGAGCAGACAAGGGGCTGGCCTTGGGCCCAGGGACAGTCAGGCCTTATAAAGCGCTGGCAGTCAGGGCCCCGGCATGCTTCCCTGGAGGCCTGCACCCACACGCTTCTCCAGCCCAGCCCCTGCCTGGACAGGGTCCCTGCTGCCTGTGGATGAGCCACCGGACCTCCTCCGCCTTCAGAGCGGAGAGAAGCTTCCATTCTTCCTCCTCCTCCTCCTCCTCTTCTTCTTCTTCAGCCTCCCGGGCTCTCCCAGCTCAGGACCCACCCATGGAGAAGGCTTTGAGCATGTTTTCAGAGGATTTTGGCAGTTTCATGAGGCCCCACTCGGAGCCCCTGGCCTTCCCAGGCAAGTGCTGGGGCTCTGAGGGGAGGGGAGAGACACAGATAGGAGCGTCTGCTCCAGGGCCTCCCTGAGCAGGCTGTGGCCACCCCACCTGCCAGGAATAGGTGCTGCATGGGTTCTAGGTACATGTGGCTGCCAAGACAGACCTGGCCACCAAGACAGATATATATGGTTAAGATACAGGTGGGCCTCCTGGGGACAATGGTGACCTTAGGGGTGAGATGTGAATCCAGTAGTCCCACACAGCCCATGTCCTAATGGGAGCCCTAGAGGGATAGCTGAGATTGAGGGGTGGCTGGCCCCCCAGAGCTTCCAGGCCTTGGATAAAGGAGAGATCTGCATGTATAGATTACAGATTAAATAGAGTGAGGCTCGCACCCACCCCCAACTCCCTCAAGGTAAGCTGCAGGAGTGAGGAGAGGGGCTGTTGTCTAGGAGCTGCATTCATTTCCCCAAGGGAAGAGCAGAGACCAGGTTTACACGTTCGGGGCTTGCTAGGTGCCCAGCTTATAGCAGTTCTGTCCACAGCCCGACCTGGGGGACAAGGCAGTGTCAAGACCCTTGGCGACGCCTATGAGTTTACGGTGGACATGAGAGACTTTTCCCCTGAAGATATTATTGTCACCACCTCCAACAACCATATTGAGGTGCGGGCTGAGAAGGTAAGTCTTGGTCCTGCCCCCCCCCCAGGGTCCCCACCTTCCCCGGAACTCTGCCTGGTCTAGCTGGCTCTGTGTCCCCTAGTTTCACCCGTCTTCTCCACTGACCACTGTTTCCTTCCCTGTCTGCACGCCTCCGGGACAAACTGCAGCCCATTCCTGGTGGGCTCACAGGCCACGGACCTTCATGGCCCTCTCCAACCTAAGGTTCATAGAACCTGTCTTTTGGAGCCCATGTCATGGCACCTGGGGATCCTCCAGGGATGACAGAGGGATCTTGGGATGTGAGCAGAAGGGACCCTGAGCGGTTGAGACATGAGTGGGTGAGGAGAGAAGGGAAGTGACCATGGTGGAGTAAGGACAGCTCTTTGGCAGAAGGTAGAAGAAGGTGGCAGTGGCTGATCCAACTTGGGCAGCACAGTCCACTCATGGCACCCTCCACCCTTCTTTCAGCCCAGGGCCAGAAGCGTGGGCCCTGTTGTGGTACCTCCACACTGGGCCTGAGGCTGAGCAGGAGCCACGGAGCTCAGAGTCACACCCACCCTGAACCCCACGTACCTTAGTCAGAGTCTCAGGGTAGCTAGATCATCAGAGAATGCATGGCCAGCCGAGACAGTGGCTGCTGCAGTCCTTAGGACCATGCTGATTCTTAGAGGACATTTGCCAAGGCCTCCCTGACCACCTCCCAAGCTTGGCTAGCTCCCCTAATTAGGGCAGGATACTAGGAAGCCCCGCTAGGGGTTCGAGGACTGAGGGCCACTGGCTGCACGTGCCAGCCCCACGTCTCAAGGGTGACTCAGCCAGAAGACTCCGATGGACACTATGTGCTGGCTGGGCTTCGGGGGAGGGCGGTGGCCCTGGTGGTGGACACTCAGGGTGTCTGGGGATCCAGAGGGCACAGCTGTGTCATCTACCCACCACGGCTCAAGAGTCCCAGACTTCCAGCTACTCCTGTGCAAGTTCAACCCTTACAGAGCCCCACCTAACCCATCTTACACCCAGCTCCCCTTGGGACCTCTGGAGCCCCTCTGCAGAGCCCTTGGCTCCTGGCCACCGCACACCTCTGGCCAGCTCTTTCACATCTGATAGCAGTGGGGTAACAGGACAGAGAGCAAAGCAGAGACTCTGGCTTGATTTGGGCATGACCAGGACCCAGGATGGGGCAAGGGCTGGGACAGCCACTCCTGACCTGTCATCCCTCCCCCAGCTGGCAGCTGATGGCACGGTCATGAACACCTTTGCTCACAAGTGCCAACTGCCAGACGATGTGGACCCTACATCGGTGACCTCGGCCCTTCGAGAGGATGGCAGCCTCACCATCCGGGCACGGCGCCACCCCCACACAGAACACGTCCAGCAGACCTTCCGGACGGAGATAAAAATCTGAGGGTCTCCCCACCCTTACCCTCCCCTCCCCGAATCTCCTCTACTGGCCTGCTGGTGAGGTCATCCTGACCCCTGACGATGGCCCCCAGAACATCTCAGCCCGGTCCAGTCACTCCACACACTCTTAGGCCCCAGGTGGGTCAACCTCCCCCCAAACTAGGGCCCTCCTCTCCACCCAGGAGCAGTCCCAAGACCCTCTTGTTCTCTCTCAGATAGGATCTCCCTGTCTTAGTTCACAAGAGAGGGGTTGAAGGATGGACTTGGGGAGAAAGTTGAGGGCTAAGCAAATGATCAGTGGACAGAGAAACATCTCTGCAGGGCAGGGGACCAGGGACGACCCTCCTGGCAAGTGGAATATAGGAGCTGGCCACAAGCAGGGCTGCTGGCCTAGGTGGACTGCCTCAGGCAAGCCAGAGAGATAACCATGATTGTCACCTCCCCAGGGCTGCAAGTCTCCAAACCAGGGCTACCTGTCACCCTGGGCCCCAGTCAGCTACTTATGCCAGGCAGGGACACCTGTACCCAGGTGGGGTTTATTAAAATAGCATGAGGCTCCCATCTCCAGCTGCTGGTGCCCTAAGCTCCCGGGTGCCTTCCCCCCCCCCCCCGCCCTGCAGGGAGAGTCCCCCTTAGGAAGTGAGAGCAAGAGCAGTCACAGGCCTGCTAATGCACCAATCTTCCCACACAGACGTCGCCATTGCCCTGCCCCTTAAACACTCATTCCCATTGGTTAAAGCCTGATTCAGAATGTTCTAGAATCAGATTGAGCATCTCTATTTTCATCAGTGGGGACGCTGAGTCTCTGAGCCAGTTGGATGCTCGGTTTTGTGGCTGAAGGTTGGCTCTGCACACAGCACTGCCTCGGAGGCCCTCAGCCTCTCACCTCTGGGCACTGGGAGCGTTCCCCTGACTCGAACTCTCTAGAGCCACTTGCCCTGTCTCACTGTCTCACTGCACAAGGTGGCCACAGGAAGAGCCCCGACCCAGACCCTTTCTGCCCTCCAAGTCCAGGGCAAAGACACTTGTCAGTCTTAACCCTGGGGGACCAGGGCTTTGACCCTGGCTCTCAGACTCACACGGTCGGTCGAAGCAGGTGTGAGAGGGGGAAGTTCTCAGTTAGTTGGGGTCCCTGGGACCTCTGACTCCTGCTGTCTGGGGACCCTGGGGACAGGGAGGGTGGGGGTTTATGGGAGTCTGGCCTCTACACCCTATACACAATAAAAGGACAGTATAACAGACTTGTGAGATCCCACCTGGAGTTCTACCTGGGAGCAGGGACTGAGTGGGTGGGCAGGACATCCGGACTGGGGAAAGCAGCCTAAGGCTTGAACCGCTTATAGCATCCTGTCTCCGGGCTGCCTGCCCTTCCCTCTGTATTCATTCTTTAGTTCAAGAGGAATGTCTGAGCTGGACTTGGTACCAGCGCTGTGTTCTACGCTGTCCCAAACCGAGGGTCACAATGTCCCTTCTTGAAGTCCTTCCCCTCGATGGGGCTTCTGAGGCCCAGAGAAGCTAAGAGAATGGCCTAAGGTCACAGAGCTCCGAAGACACAGCCAGTTGGGGTAGGGCCAACCAAACGCAGGGTGAGGCGCTGGATCGCCTACGCCTGGAGTGTTGGGGGGGGGCAGGGGTTTCTCCTCTCTCCTCATACCCCCCAGGAGCTACTGAAATCAGAGTCGCCGGCTGCTCCCCAGAGCCGCTCCGCTGGCGACTGCGGTCGGTCGGAGCAGGGAGGGGAGGTGGGGGTGCAGTATTTCCAGCCTCGTGAGTCACGGATTCCGCTGCGCTATTTGCAGCCCCAGCACTCATCGGCG